CCCCCCCCCCCAGCCCCCCCCTGGGGCTGACTTGGGAGATTACTGGGGAATACCGGGGAAAGACTGGGAGAGGAGGGAGAAAAGAGACGTGGGGGGGGGGACCTGGAAAAATATAAGTTACATTAATTGAGGTCCTCCCCCCCCCGAAAATAAGCAATGAAATTGTAACTTACAAAGGCTGGACATCTGATTTCAGAGCACCAAAGCAGGAACATAAGATGGATTGCGTGTATGTAACATACAATAAATGTAACTTGCATGCATTTGTTGCAGAAATGCATTGCCACTTGCCACCACAGCATTTGGGCTTTGTTAGCGTGTGATCCTGACTCGCAAAGATGTTGGCGTGGCTCATGTTTTGGTGTCTCCCCGCCCTCAGCTGGGGTGCTGGAGGGGGGGATGACACATTCACGGTCACACCAGAGACTTCATGGTTCAGCGCTGCAGGGCATTTACAAGACCTTGAGTCTTTCTGATCTTTGCTTTCGTTTAGTAATATGTTTTCAACTTGTTGGGTCATGTTCGGTCAGGTTAAGATTTTCGTTGATTTTTCTTCGGCTGGTTCTCAAAAAACTGGCGACTACTGGCCCAAGGTCTTCTCAAAATACATTGTTTTAAAATGTTCTAAACATCCAAGGTGAAGCTTGGCAAGGGACACGCGAGTTGCACTGCTTAGATTTGTTCAGCAGAAGTGGAGCACTCGCACGGGCTTTCAAGCTGAAAGGATTCCGAGGCCAAGCATACGATCTCTACTCTTCAGAGGATCAAGATATCCTATCACAAGAAGGCTTCATGATTGCACTCAGTGCTGCAATGGGGCTTCGTGGCTTGAAATTATGTACGCCCAGGAGGGGGAGAGTGCAGGGGGGCACTACAAACCAATACACGGAAAAATGTAGCTTACATTTATTGCGTATGTGTTTCACATGGGCCAAACCCATCCAAACCCAATATCCAGCAGTGCCCTTTGTCAAGGCTGGTGGACTACGGGCTGCTTTGGGCAGCCGTGCCATGTTCGCTCTTTATTTCCATTTCCCAGTCCGTGCATCAGCGGTACGAATCTTGTAGCGTCACCAGTCAGTTTTCGGGTGCAGTATGTTGTCGTGAGATGTCGTGAGGTCAGACCAACAAGTTTGTTTAATATTGTTTAATGGGCGAGCCAGCTACCTAGGACTGGCGCCCTTTTGGGAACACAGGCTTGTTTTCAGTCCGCATGGCCAACATGATTGCAGAGAACACAGCAACATTGGTCAGACTTGTGTTGAAACACCGGCCTCGAACCTTTGTGACACTCGAGCAGCCAAAGGGATCCAGATTGTTCAAGCTACCGAGCGTGGCCAGTCTCATGAAGGATTGCCAGATGTTCTGTATCCTGACGTATTTGGGATTGTTTGGCATGCAGATTTTGAAGGCTACGTGGCTCTACTCAAACTGGACAAGTCTTCACGGAGTGGGGCGGCGTGCTACCAAGGTTGTGAAGGACAAGTTCACGAAAAGAATCCACGCCATGCACGAACGATTGAAAGCTCAGGGCAAGCCTGTTCCGATCTTCTATACGATTGGGGTATCCAAGAGGACAGGCAAAAAAACTTTCACCGGTGGACCCAACCTTGGAGATACTTCAAAGTATCCAACACGTTTTTGCACAGCTGTCTTCAAGCTGTGGAATGAGGCCAATGCACTCGCAACACGCGACAACCTATAGGGGGCCCAAACGTGATAGGTTTCACAGGTCCATTGACCTTAGTCGGACAGCTTAGGTGGACTCTCACAATGACTCAGATAGCTGAAGTGTGAGGTCAAAAAATTTGATAGCCACAGAATGTACCAGAATCAGGTCCAACCAAAACTGTGCAACCTTGCTTGGCCGTAGTATTTCTCAGCTTTCCCTTCCACTTCAAGTTACTGTAATTGAAAACATTGACAAACCATGGCAGAATATGGAACGATATGAAAATATAAGAAAAATATTGAGCAATCCGACAGGAGTTTTTGCACCTTTGAAGCTGCAAAGTTTTCCAACAAACAAACAAGATTCAACCGTTCCTTCTGTTCCGGTCACCGGACCATACCGGACCATGCCGTGGAAAGTTGAGCGCAGAACGCGCGCTGGCGGGGAAAGTGCAGGTCATTTTGACTGCTTCCTGGCGGCCGTATTGTTCTTCGATGATTTTCGATGACCTTTTCTTTTGATCTTTGATGATCTTTGTCTTTCTTCTTTACTGTGTCAGAAATATTTGTCTTCTGTCTTCTCCTGTTTTCCCGGCTTCTGAGATTACTGGCATCCACCAGACGGGAAGAAAGCCTTACGTAGTCTGTCGGCGGCGAAGAAATACGCCACTGAGAAGGGGCTGGATCCTCCTCCTGGCAAGGCGATTCTGTTTGTGTTCATTTGTGTTCACTTTGTTTGCGATTTTGATTTTTTTATTCCCAAGAGTGTTTTGGAGACGTATGTTCCCATGTGTCTTGGGCAGTCTGACTCCACCTACTTGGTCACTGCGGAATCCCAGAAGGCAGAACTGGAAAAGGCTGGAAATCTTTCAGTGCGATTCAATGTGGATATTGTATGTGGCATGAGCTTCTTTAAGCTCTAGAAATACAGCTTACATTTTCCATATTTGTGTCAGCACAGGGGCTTTGCTTTTTGCTTAGTCAGGCTATTTGTCAGACTCACATGTGTTGGTATGCATTCTGGCAGGAAACCTCACACAACCAGGATGTACAGCTTACATTTAATTGTAGATAGATATATATATATACAAAGGTCACGTTTTCCTTCTGGCCTTGCGCACGTGCTCTTCCTTTGTCAGGCTGCAATTGCTGACAAAGCTGGATTGCCTGGGGGTGTGCAGTCCAATCCAGTTGGGGGCCCTGTGTTCTCAGCAGCTCGCGACGAAAATGTAAGCTGGGCTTGTTGAGGTGTTTCTATTCTGGCACCGCAGTGCTGTTTTTATTTTGTACATCGTTGATTTTTCAGGCAGTGGTCAATGATGGACCAGGGAAAATGCAGGTTGAGGCGTAGGGAGCACACTGAGAAAATGTAAGCTGTACTGCTTGGGGTGATGAAAGTGTCACGCCACACTGCTGTGATTTGTGCGTTGGAGGTGGATCAACGAGACCAAGATGCTGCAGAGGGAGCGGGTGCGACACAGGTTCAGGACACATACCTGGGGCGGAGGAGAGTGAGTGTAAATGAATAGGATATTATAGGATAATAGGATAATAGGTTAAAACATGTTAAGGCCCACTGTGCTTTAGCTTACTCTTCTGACTTCTGTGTCCACAGCTCATGCTGCACACATGGCCCCTGCTTTTGCAGGACGTGGCAAAGGATGATGTGGGGCAACTTCACAAGGAACCTTCAGTGTGGACCTTGTTTGCAGCATCTTTTTAAGCATACGCTTGCAGTTGGAGTCTACATACTGACATGCGTGTCATGGAAGAAAATGTAAGCTGGACTTGTTAAGGTGCTTCTATTCTGGCACCGCAGTGCTGCTTGTGTATGTTAGTTGCATTGAGGCAGTGCCCACAGATGCACCCAAACCAGTGCAGATTGAGGCATATCAGTGTAAAGCTTTTTCTCATAGCAGAGAGGGGGCGCAGAGAGAAAATGTAAGCTGTGCCTCTTGGGTGTTGAAAGTGTCATGCCTCAATGCTGCATCGTGTGTTGGAGGTGGGTCTACAAGACGGAGATGCTACAGAGGGAGATGCTACGATGCAGATTGAGGACTCATACCTTGAGCGGTGTGTCTGAAAAAGAAAGTTGGATAGTCTGCAACGTCGTTTCTACATGCTTCTACATGCTCGTGGCAAAGGATGAACGGGGGCAACTTCATGAGGAACCTTCAGTGTGGACCTTGTTTGCAACATCTTTTTTTTAAGCGTACTCTTGATGTGAAATGATATGATTACCCAAAAGAAAATGTAAGCTGAACTTGTTGAGGCGTCTTGATTCTGGCACCAAAGTGCTGTTTTTGTTCTTGTATGTTTTGATTTTTGAGGCTGATGGAGGAGAACGCATGGAGGTTGAGGCAATACCACAGCGGAGAGGGGGCACAGAGGAAAAATGTAAGCTGTTCAACTTGTGTGTTGAAAGTGTCATGCCACACTGCTGTGTTTTGTGCATTGGAGGTGGATGAACGAGACCAAGATGCTGCAGAGAGAGACGCTACGATGCAGACTGAGGACACATACCTGAAGCAGTGTATATGCAAAAAGAGTATTTTATATAGGTAGTATGCAATGTACAGTAGTTTCTACGTAATTCTACGTCCATGCTTTGTGCTGACACATGGCCCGTCTTTCACAGGACCTGGCAGATGAACGGGGGCAACTTCATGAGGAACCTTCAGTGTGGACCTTGTTCGCCGCTTTTTTTTAAAGCGTACTCTTGATATGAAAAGATATGAATACCATGAATGAAAATGTAAGCTGAGCTTGTTGAGGTGTCGTGATTCTGGCACCAAAGTGCTGGCTTTGTATGTTTGTATGTTCTGATTGTTGAGGCTGAGCCCAAAGATG